TCTCTCTCTCTCTCTCTCTCTCTCTCTCTCTGTCTCTTTCTTGTGGCTTCCAATTGGCAGCTTCTAACTTGTAGGGAATGTTACCCCTGATTTTCCAAGCACTTTTTCAGAAAGTTTAAAAATGTGTGAGGTGCGCTGAACCATCTCTACGGAACATAGATCTACTGTACTACCCCATGGCATGAAGTTTCGATCAGCTAACCACTCGTCGCCATTCAGCTGTACAATTAACGAAGAACATTACCTGCATTCATTATTATATCTGTCGCTCACATCGCAGCTCGGTGCTCCCTTGTTGACTACGAGGGGAACATCCTAATGGACGAGTATGTGAGACCGACTGAGCCGATCACAGACTACCGTACAAAGTGGAGTGGGATTCGTCCGTCAGACATGTACTGGGCAGTGCCGTTCTGCGTTGTCCAGGACCATGTGCGACGGATTTGTCAGGTGCGTGCTGTCACAGGCACTTGGAGCATTTCAATAAAATATAATGCTAAATAAATACGAAATCTAGTATTTACTACCAGTCTTCTATACTATCTTTCACCTATTATTGCCGACAATTTTCTGCAAATGCTGTCCAAATGCTCATCTGCAAAAAACACTGGCTGCCGCTGCACACTGACACATAAATATATATATTATTTATTATAACTGCCTAAATGTGAATATATCACAATTAACAAGTTTGGTCAAACAGTTTAAGGAAATCTTATGCAAATTCAAGCTGTCTGTTAAAATTGTTATTAGTGTATCAGTATGGGATTGCACCAGTCCTGGATAAATAATATTAATAATTGTGCCTTGTTTGCATTTCAGGACAAGATTATTATTGGCCATGCGGTGCACAATGACTTCAGAGTTCTACTGCTAAACCATCCCAAACATCTAGTAATGGACACCTCGTTCTTCAAACCACTGCGGGTGAAAGCTGGGTTAGACCCTACCAAAACGGCATCATTAAAGCACCTCACATTGGCACTATTAGGTAATAAACTAATACTAAAATAATTTGCTCTCTATGCCAATGACACATGGCTCAACAAATGTTACCAACATCATTCAACAAATTTACCTCTAAGCATCAACTAACTAATTAATGCAAAACACGGTAACTACCATGGTGCCGTGGTACGTTTAATGTCGTACAACGATCCTTATCATAAATCCTTGATAAACATCGCGGTGCCGGGGTGCGATTAACTGCTGCCACGGCGATTAACACGTTGCGTACTTTTCCCGCGCGGCAGGACGGAGCATCCAGAAATTCACGCACTGTTCGGTGGAGGACGCGCGGGCTACGATGGAGATCTTCAGGAGCGTGCAGCAGCTGTGGGAGTGCGAGCGTGGCATCACGAACAGCTGCACCGCTGCCGCGGCCACAGCAGCGGACCCCGTGTGCGACTCCGGATACAGCAGCACCACCGAGACTGCCGCCTCGTTCCTCGAGGACGAGTTCTGGCCAGACGATCTCAATTAATGACGACCGCGCCTATTGTTGGCCATCATACTCGGAATAGTTATTTTTACCGCGGTAGAAGTATTTCAACCGCGGTTAAATTATGGCCCTTTTACGCAATCAGAGGCCTCGTTACACATAATTTAACCGCGGTAAAAATAATTTATCCGCAGTAAAAATAATTTATCCGCAGTTGAATTATATGTATAACAACCTCGGATTGGATAAAAGGCCAATAATTATACCGCAGTAAAAATAATTATTTCTAAGTACGATGGCCAACCATACGCGCTGGCTCGTCAACAAAACAGCGTCGCGAATTTACAAGTGTTCTTGTGTGTTTGTTAGTTTGGTTCAGAACCCACTGATGATCGACAGGATATGCAGCGGGTCGTTTTACACCGTCGGCTTACGGCGAAAGGTTGCTACGTTTAGCGATGCTTTGCGGGCATGAACGCGTGCGTCAATAGGTATTGCACGTGTGCTCAACTAGAACTGATGACGGTTGCTGGTCTTCCATTGCGTTCGCGTTAACTGGCTGTTATGGGGGTAAGGACGTAAAAGTAATAAATGCGTGGGCACAAAATAAAAAACGGAAGTTTTTTGTTGTAGTTGAAGAGATTTGGTGTCGCGTTGGACTGCCACTGTAACATCCACCCCTTGCTTTTCCCACCACAGCTGGATATAAAGTAAACACTACAGCAGACACACTTATTTAGTTCGTATTCCTGTATTCGAGACGAGAATGTATTTTTCATAATAAATAATCTCACTACAAGTAACCTAGTATATATGGCTAGGGTCATCACTCTGTTTGTAACACCAAACTTCATTGACATCAAAGTTGCAACAACTAACAAGACTGCTAAGTTTAGCACCCTGCACTTCTGTTCATATTGATATTCTACCATGCCAAACCAATCTCACGCATGCCATGTAGGATATCGGATTAAAAGAAATCTATAAAAAAACAAAGATCACTCATAAAACTGTAACAATTTATGAACAAATAAGGTGAAATAACAAAAACGGTGTACAGCATAGGTTTTTTGCACGTAGTCTTGTGATCAACACACCGTAGCAAATGTACGGTTAACATAGTAAAGTAACTGAAATGCATCTAAAATTCGCAGAGGCAAGCATGCTCATCCAAGTAGAAAAAAACATTTTAGCGGTCACCACTGCGAGGGCACTTTTCACATAATGACATTAAAAAGACGTTACAAGAATACTCCACAGTAAATCTCTTTCTCAAACCACAGAGATAGATACATACATATCTCTCTCTCTCTCTCTCTCTCTCTATATATATATATATATATATATATATATATATATTGAGAGAGAGTTCTGCACATAAAGTCTAAGCCAATCGGACGTAAGCAATTAGCTTCATGTAAAGAAAATTCGTGTTGAAACACAATTAATGCGTGTTTAATACAACATGTGCAGGGCATTTAAAGAAAATACATATATAAGTAAATCTGCTGAATATATGTAACCATTAAAGCATAAATAGTTATTAATATCCTACCTATACTTCTGTGATATAACCAATGATCACAAGCAGGTAATATATGAAAAAACATTGGATGACTTATTACCAGGTTGAACTTCTCAAGACTGGAGATTACTTACAATAAAGATAATGGTAATTAAAGTGACTACTGATAAAAGTGTACATAATATCCATTTGATCCTTTATAATTCTGAAAAATCAACAATCTGCACACAATATGAATTTTTTAAATCACAAGAGCAAAATCATGCTATAATCAATTATTACCTGATTTCCAATATTTCAAGCGAGGCAAACATGAGGTATTGCAAATAAGACGTGAGAAAAGTATGTTAATTAAACTTGCACTTAGCTATGTACGACCTACAAAGATATCATATCATCATACTACCCTGGATCTTAGGTATACTAACCTGGATCTTATGTCGCTTTTAATGTTATGCATTCCAATTTCATAACAACTACATGCAACTTTTAATGGCAAATATGGTAATGATATTTTTTTTATCCCAATTGCTTTGAATATATAATATATCAGGAGTCTTATCAATATTATCCTGAATATATCATGTATGCATTATGGCACATACCACGTTATCTTGTACACGAATCATAACACACTATTCCACAATTCAGCCACATATACAGAATAGATTGCATCAAACATGTTCGTATAATGTCACCAAATGGCTTTCATTAAGAAGCATATCTTACAGAAAACGGGGTGGCACAATGTACTTAATAAATTAATAACATTTATCTTCACCATAGGTGCGTATGGTCTCACAAAATCGCAATATATATTAATCACTAAAACACCCTCCTACGGATAATTAACTGAAGGAAGTCGATAAAATGACTTCAATAAATTTCACGTTTACAAGTCATGGCATTTTAAACAAAGCATGTCTACCACAACTCTGTGAACAACACACCCTCTCGTCCGAAGTTGTTGCAGTATAAACTACATATTAACAGCGGTAAATAATGACAGATATCAGTCGTTCTTCACCCCCTGATATTATAACATACGTTCATACGTCACAGCCAACCATGTCTCAGCCACGAGTGATTCTCGCATGCTAAAATATTGTTTCCGACTTGGCAAACAACCACGGTGAATTAACAAACCAGCAGAGAAAACCTGGGAAATGATCCCACTGCCAATTTCTCCGAACTCACTAAGTTGTTTCACGGGCACACAACCTGTGTCCTATTATGGATTTTCGATGCGAACACAATCTTAGAAATACATTTCACGACATACCTGAAAAACGTTGACATCTAAAAATATACTATTGTATCGTCAGCTTGTCAAACAGTTTTATTAACATATTAATTTCATACAAAGCATGAGCTTTGCAATAGCTTAATCCTGACTTTGGTGGATACGTGAACGAAAATAAAACTAATGAACTATTGAAACTAAAATTCAATAAAAATGTCCACTGCTAGTTCAGTTAGGCCATTATGTCAATGTGAGAATCATCAACAGGAAAACCATAAATCATTGCATGAATTTCACTGTCAAAACATGTTTACTCGAGTTTCATGCAATCGGTTTGTGCATTAAGTGTTCGGCCACTCGCAATACCTAGGCCGTTAATGAACTTCTGCTGTTAGCCGTCAGTGTAATGTGAACGAATCTATCACATTTTCCACAACACCCGCATTTATCGCAACAAAACATTTTATTAAATGGAGAATCTTGATCAATTTCAAGCAGAAGTGTTTGTTCATTAGGCCTCGTTATCCATCAACCGGTGCATGTCTTTCACGGCATGGAGAACCAATGTCAATTGTCGTAAACTGCCGAAATATGACATCACCGTTTAGTGTGACTGCATGAGTATAGCCCATACAATCTTTGAGGTCGCATGTAGACAAGCACCTATGCAGCCGTTTTCGCCATGTCATATCTGAAAGAAATTAAAGTCTAGAGTACTATGTCTTATTTTCTCTCACTCACTCTCACTCTCTCTCTATCTCTCTCCTTCTCTCTCTCACTTCTCCCTCCCTTCCTCTCTCTCGCTCGCTTGTTCTGTCTCTCTCTCTTGCTCTCTCGCTGCCATAGGTAGTGTAGGAATGAGCCAGTGATATGTATATAGCCGGCTTATCATTGCAGAAAGCAGCCTACAAATGACTCGTGACTGGGAAGTTTTCAATGAAGAGTTCAAAGACAGCAAATCAAATCCAAAAAATAAAATTAATCCTTGCAGTTTGTAGCGCACGTTCAACAACAACTCTTACCTTGACGCAACGTAACGCAATGTAGGATGACTCGGTAATATAATGTAAGGTACTGTATTGCAATGTAATGTAATGTGATGTGATGTAATAGAATGAAATAAAAATAAAAATAAAATAAAAAAAATTTCCTTGACTACTCTCAAGTCGCTAAAGTCACGCTGCCTACCTCTATCAAAAGACGTTAATTAAATAGGTCCAGTGATGAAAACTCATTTAGTAAAAAATGGTAAAAAAACCATTAACCCACCTTTTAACCTGATCGGGGACATACACGTAATCCATGGGTATATTTTCATCCAATTGCTTCAGAGTATAAATGAACTTAAGCTTGTTCCAGAACTTGTGGCTAATGAACATAACAAACAATGAATAATAAACAAACCTTGTCAAAAGGAAACTATAAAATATATTTAGTAAAATACAAGTACATACAAATTGTATTTGTATTTGAATTACACTAAATAAAGTAATAATGATAAAAACTCCCTGAGCCGGCTGTACGATCCATGCGTTATAGCACAAGCACTGTGTGCGTGCATGTTCATGAATATAGACATGGTTATAGGGTTTATTCCCGGTTGGCCTACTCCCATTTCGCCTACAGCAAAATTCCCAGTTGGCCTACACCTATTTCGCCTACTCCCACAGTTCGTCTACGCTCAAAATCTACCCCATTCCCATTTCGTCTACGATCGGTTTGTTCACTAAATAATCATTTATAAAATATAAAATATGGTTTTGACTGGTATACATACATAGGATAGACTACAGGAACCAGGCAAAAATACAGGTACAAGTAATGAGAACACAACTTGACAAAAATAGTTCTGAGAGTAGACGAAATGGGAGTAGGCGAAATGTGAATATTGCCGATTCTCAGAGTAGACGAAATGGGACGTAGGCGAAATGTGAATATTGCCGATTCTGAGAGTAGACGAAATGGGACGTATAGGCGAAATGGGTGTAGGCGAAATGGGAGTAGGCCAACTGGGATGTTACCGGTTATAGATGTAAAAATAGAGTGGAGATGAGTTTGTGGTTACGATTAGATGATAAACGGTTTTGTTTCCTGAAGAAACACTTTGCTTTCGAAACTGCTGTTGATTAATGTCACCTAATTGTAAGGTTAAGCGAGGATTTCTGTGATGTTGCGATACAAAACTAATGGTTAATGGCACAATACCTGATGAATGGTCGGCACATAATCACGATGGTTTTCAACCAGAAGGTCGGATGAACCAAATAGAGCGCTTTCAAGTTCTTACGCAGCCTGAAACAAGTATATACGATGTATGAAAGCCAACATTAGAGCAACAAACCACCCGACATTACCCCTCGATTTCTTCGTTTACGCATACACTGTTACATTTTCTGCTTCAGGATTTACATTTGTGCACATAGACTGTCATAAACAGCCCAATATGAATCTTTTACTTTCTGTATTGTGACATACTATCAATATGTAGTTAACAAATAATTTATTAATTAAGCAGTAATGTATTATTAATCACAATGCAGAGTCTCATACATGCCTTAGTTACACAGCAATCAATTTACAAGTAAAACCATGCCAAGAATTCCACACGCTGGTAAGCACATAATTATCACTCAAACACATAATAAAGCAATCGATATCATCAAACTGTACTCGAATGTTAACTTCAAGTTCAACACCAGAAATTACAATTGACTGATTTTGATAATTGTATTTGCAAATCATCGTTTATCATTTCTATTATTAGCATCTCAAACATCAATATATATATTCGGCTGGGAGTACCTACACTAATCTATTGATTTATATTGTTCTTTTACACATCACTACAAGGTCCCTATGTTAGATAAGCATTACAAGCGTGGCTATTTGAATTAGTCTAGATACCATTGAATGCTAGGCTACACTGACCCTGATTAGTTAGAAAATTTTAATGGAGACTTGCAGGACTCATACATTTAAATTTCATTAGATGGATAAGCTAAGAAACTATTTCATTAGTCCAGCGAAATGATTTTCGTCAGCAGCCAGAATTTTGCATGCGTTTCTTCTGCCAAGCACACATGCAGCAGCGTGCATGCCATCTTGTGAAATGTGGTGAACACCCCTCAATAAGAATTTGATGAAAATAAACAGGCAGTTAATTATGTGACAGCAAAATGAGTGCATATGCACGTCCCAGCGTTCCGGAGACAACTATTTTGTCAAATGGACATTGTTGCAGATTTATTGACAATGTGTCGTTTATAAAACTCGAAAAACACGAAAAACACAAAACAAGTCTCTCTTCATTCCTCATCGCTTTCCACTTAACAGACTCGAATAATTAAGTCTTTGTTAGAGATATTAAACAAGCATTAGGCACAGCCTATACTAACGTACAGCCAAACCTGCTAACCATCTCTACAGAATGGAAACGTCTACAAAAGACACCTTTGAAGTTTTCTTCGATTAGCAGTTAGTGAAACCAACTCTATAGAACGGACACCTAGTGGCCGATTCGCGATTTCTCTCAAGCGATCCTTACGCGCAGGTTTGACTGCAGCTATACCCACTACAGCAGCTCCCCACAACTAAAGAAAATGCACCCAGACATACCGTACTACGGATGAGGGTTAGGATGAGTCGCAGCGACAGACGGAGGCTGCGTTAGTCGTGTGCGGTGTTAGCAACGGTGAGCGTGCACACCCACGTATGTGCGTACTGCCCACAGCGTGATACTTACGGCATCATAGTCCCAACACGATAGCAGCGCGGGTCGTCGTAATCGTACCTTCTATCGATCATCTGGTAGCAGCGCTTGAGCCAGGAGAATCGCGGCATGTTGTTGCCGACCGAACCGCTGTGCAGGTAGACTAGCATGTAGTCCTCCGCTACAAGCTGCTCCAGTGTGTTTATCACATACCTGTCGCACGTAATAGCAACCACAGGTATACACGGGGTACACAAGAGTAGTTGGTGCACAATAATCGGTTAGTATACAGCCCATTTCACTGGTCAATCGGTGAATTCCGTACAACGCTCGGAATTCAAGTCACATGGCACGATATCACGCGACTCCAACAACAGATCGCAGACTGGTAGGAATGAAAGTTAAACCACCAAGTAAAATAAATTTAAGTAATAAAGGAATACTCACAAGAATAGATTATCCATCACATATTCATAGTCATTCCTACTCCTGTCTGGGAGATAGCATGCAGCAAACACTATAATTGCCTTCAGTCCCTCTCCATAGTAGCCTATAAAGGTCATGGAGCATTACACATCACACGCTAGTGCAATATTCAATAGGCAGCAAAAATGAAAAAGAAAATCTTTCCTTAAAACAGTGCCTATTACCGCAAGGTTGACAGACCTAAGTCAATAAGGGTCTATTAGGTGGGATAGAAGACATGTTAAAAGCGACTAAGTTCTCATGTGAAGTTACGTTCTTGAGCTAGATGGCCCCACGACCATAATTTATGTCACCAAAATAAGGGCGATTAGCCTTACTATCCTGATACACTGGAAGATAAAGATACATTAGAAATAATAAGTACACCTCCGAGCCACAGTACAATGAAATGCGCACTACCCTAAGCCACCTCCATGCGACAGTACATTCTTGTTCGACAATGAAATGCCCGCTACTTTATGGTACCTCCGTGTGACAGCACCTTGTTGTATGACAATAAAAAATGCTATATTGCGTTACCTTCATGCAACAGAACAATTAAACGCCTGCTATGTGACAGTTACCTGTGTGTGACAGTGTAGGAAAGCGCCAAGTATAGGAAAGCGCCGGCTTGTCCACACTTATTGTTTACATTTATAATTTCCCATGATTCTGCATGAGCTTCGCCGCACGGCGTAAGCAACCAATATAACACCAATATCAATCGCGCCATATCCGCCGGGTGATATGCTGGTGTCATTATATATCTATTATGGACCGGACTTGTTGACGCCAAACGCGCAGGGAAAAGCGGACTCGGCTCTGATCCTTCGACTCCGATAGTCCATTTGTTGTCCTGCTCCGATCGTGCCTAGTTATTCTCACACACAGTCCAGCGATAATTCTCCGTCTATCTTCTACCCTCTATCTTCACCCCGGCTGAGCGTCTTCGCGAACCTCCTTACTAAGGTACGAAATCACTGGTATTCGATCACGTATTCTGTGTGTAGGCGTCTGTGTAGTTTCGTGGAGTTGTGTTCATCTAGACTGTTAAGAGTATATTCTGTGGTACAATAGAACATACGGAGAGTAGCTTTATAATACTGTGTTCGTGTTGTTTATCTGTGCTATCTATCGTGGACTCTATCGACGCAACCTGTTACTACCAATAAGGAACGGGTGCCACTAGCGCACCTACTAAACTGTAGAACCTGGGGAGTGGGAAGCTGAGTGGCTTCCTTAGAACAGCACCTTCTAGTATGACAATGACAATGCTATAATACGTTATCTCCATGCAACAGGACAACTAGGCTAAATTCGAAGACTGCATTACATTTACCTCTGTGTGACAGCACTTTGTATGGCAATGACAATGCTACGTGACATTTACCTCCGTGTGACAGCTAGCACCTTGTATGGCAATGACAATGCTACGTGACATTTACCTCCGTGTGACAGCACCTTGTATGACAATGACAATGCTACGTGACATTTACCTCCGTGTGACAGCACCTTCTTGTACGGTTCGATGACCTTCATGTCGATCGTCTGCTGCTTGCCTCCAACGACAACGCGCTTCCAGCTGCGAGATTCGCGGTACTCCTCGGATGCTGAGAGCTCGGGAAGATGCTCAGACGACGGCGACGTCACGGGCGTGTCGTCTGCACACAAAACAAATCACAGCAAAGACAAATCACTACACCATCTGATGGTCAAATCTGATAACTTCACTCAGCTTTGAGAAAGCCTCCTGATAGGAGGGAAACGTTAGCAGTACGTTTTGATCAACACGGTTGAGTAAAAATTAACCAAGATAGATCTATTATCTACCAACCGAATGAACTTATTTAATGAAAGACAAATTAGTCGGACATCGGTGAGTTGCCAAATGACTGAACGTTGCAATCGGGTATATACAAGGTTTTTTTGCAGTTTCCTGATCTTTAGATTATCCTGAACCTACAGTGAGACATTGCTGAGTTGCCAAATGACTGAACGTTGCCATCGGGTATATACAAGGTTTTTTGTGGTTTCCTGATCTTTAGATTATCCCGAACCTACAGTGAGACATCACTGAGGGCCGCGTCTTACTACGTTTCGCGGTCATAGGTTCACGGCCCGGCCCCCCCACTCAGTGTTATTTAGAGTACGCATATGCTCGTTCCCTCTCTTTGAAAGCACCCCCCTACCTCAAGCCTGCCAAAGTTTCTGAACCCCCCTTTCGCGGGCTTTTTGCGGGTTTTCCCTGCCTTGGAGACCCCCCTAAATCCGGAACACTGCTCAATGTACCCCCTATCTCAGGTGAGCTCTCATTCCAACCTTCTATCTCAGGACAGACACCCTCCCTCATCTCAGGTTATAAGCTGTCATTACAATAGAGGGTTCCCCGATGATGTCATGATGGAGGACAAAACAATAGCAAACCTTTGCACTAGACCATGAAAACAATGACTTTTCATAGTCTGATGCACAGGTTTTTATTGTTTGTCCTCCAATATTGCTGCTCGTGGGAATTTAACCTACTACCCCAGTCTACACTACGTAGTGTAGAGTTCAGTGATCGAGGGGAACTAGGGGGCAATATTTTTACTTTTCAAAATGAAATAATTCTGAATGAGCTTTCAAAACTAGCAGGAATTTCAGGAATTTGATCCCGAGATTTGATAGTTTTCTATGATATTCAAGATGAAAGAGAGAGAGGAAAAACACCCCTCTTTTAAAGAAATCTCCGGGTGAAAAGTCAAATACACCCCCTTTTTTACAATTCTTGGGCCGGATTTTGTCGTGCGAAAAATACCCCTTTACCGGAGATTTTGGGAACGCGCATGCGGTCCCTCCGACCTCGGAGTGGGGGGCCCGGGGTTCACGGCTACGAAATCGGCAGCGACGGAGAAGATGATAGCACTGAAGGGAAAACTAGCAGCAGAAAAATGATATTAGCATAGAATGTAACGCTAGCGATAGAAAGTCATATTAACAGAGAGGACAACAGATGCAGTCAATGACAGCATTAAACGCACACGCACGCACGCACGCACGCACGCACGCCCGCACGCGCGCACACACGCACGCACGCACACACACACACGAAGCAATACTCACTCTCCCACTCCAGTTCGTCAAGATGGCCGCCATCGTCCACGTGTTCGCCGGGCGTAGTCGCGCCGTTGCCGTTGTCGTTGTCGACGATGTTGCTGTCGAGTCGCCGCTGCTGCTGCAGGAATGCGTCACTGTCCTCATCTTCTTCCTCCAGCAGCAGTGGATGCACGGGCACGCGCTTACGCTCGGAAAGGTTGCCCGGACGCTCTGCAAGAGAGAGGGAGAGAGAAAATGGCGGCATGACAAGATGTTCTGAAGTGAGGGCCATCGTGTAGTTATATGAGTGTAGAACATGCGTATAAGACATGTTAAACGCGTGTTTAACATGCGTATAACACATGTTGAACACGTGTAGAACATGCGTATAACACATGTTATTTAAACACGTGTAAAACATGCGTATAACACATGTTAAACACGTTTTAAACATGCGTATAGCACTCATTAAACGCACATTAGACACAGGATGAAAATGTGTAAATAGAGCATGCATCAATTTGCACGCGCCTCTCGACCACGTATTAGACATGGGTTGAATACACGTACCTCAAAGGATTAGATGAGTGGCTCACACACTTAAACGTGGGTAAACACACCATGAACACGTATAAAACAACACATTGAACGTATGTATACAACACAATAAACACGTGTCAAACACACACTGAACGCGTGTTAAACGTGTGTCGGAAACACCAGACACGTTGAGCATGCGTCAAACACACATGTACGTACTGAACACACACTGAACACGTACTGAACAAATTTTGAACATGCACTAAATGCAAGGAATAAACTCTGGGAAAGTAATTTTTCCCCAGGAAAAACACAGTTGTTTGCAGCATATATATATTCTGCTATTCTATTCTCCTGACGTATCAGAGACACCGCGGTAAGTCACGGCATGCCAAGGCTAGAGGGAAATGGTGGTCTTGCCTGGTTTCACATCTGCACTCCCATCCTCAGGGAGAGAACTAGGGTAGTTGTCGTCCTGCCACTCATCCTGAGTCACAATGTGTTTCATGTTCTCCTGATACGAAACACCACGCACTGTACAATCCGCGTAGCACAAGACAATTGCATCAAAGAATTCTATGGAGCAAGATACAGTACAGTACAGTACAGTCCAGTCTAGTTCAGTACAACGTCCAGTCTAGTCCAGTACAGTCCAGTCTAGTCCAGTACAGTCATGTCCAGTACAGTCCAGTCTAGTCCAGTACAATCCAGTCTAGTCCAGTACAGTCCAGTCTAGTCCAGTACAGTCCAGTATAGTCCAGTACAATCCAGTCTAGTCCAGTACAGTCCAGTCTAGTCCAGTACAATCCAATCTAATCCAGTACAGTCCAGTCTAGTCCAGTACAGTCCAGTCTATTCCAGACAGTCCTACAGCATAGTACAGTGCAGTACAGTAGTGAAGTTAACTAAAGCACGCAAGGCGATAACAAATAAGCGAGGTACATACAGCGGACTCGATCGACGCTTTGATGACCTGTCTCATGTTCGAAGGATCGTTCGGGAAACGCGCCGGCTCCATCGTGAACTCTGCCTCGTCTAAAAAGCGGCCCTGCAGCGTCGCAAAACAAAAAACGGTAAAAAATCAAATTAGTTAATGAAATCAAATTCAAAATAAAATTATTCAAAAAATAATTAAATCGAGTTAGTTTCGCGTCTATCAGCCATTGGTCCGCCGACATGGCGGGCACGTGACAATTACGATTAATCAACAATTCATTAACGAGACTATTGCCAGCGTGAGTGTCCGTCTACCTGCATACAGTCTACCCTCAGCTGACTCGCTCCTAGTCGCATCAACAAATCTGGGCCTAGTTTGCAAAATGGTAACTACCGACTCCTTTTGTATTTTTATATTATAAATTTTAAATTTTAAATATATATTTTACATTATATATTTATCTTCTTTTTTTTTCATGTAAGACTGACTTATCACCAACATTTTCTTGGAACATTGGCATTTCCTGGCATTTACAAATGAGTGAAACCATAAATAATGCAACAGCCTCAAATTTCCTTAGCATATGGTGTGAACAAAGGATGTGAATATATGCAGCCAACCTGATTAGGCTCCCAGTATAATCCACAGTACTATAAAATTGACTACCCAACAAAGTACTACAGTACACATACCAGTATAATATCAGGAGTTTTTTAAAAAATTGCTAAAATTGCTAAAAACAGCAAACGTTTTAAAATTCAACAACCACTAATTTTAACTGAACAACAAATTTGTATTGAATTGAAAAACTGATGCCTGAACAATAATTTGAATGAAAATAAAATGTACAAACAAATCACGTTTCATTTGCGAAGCACTGTGAATAACTAAATAACTGCTATTATCACACCTATGAGGGATCGAGGCTTTGTAGTAAAACTTACCACAAAGCTGTGATTTTTGAAATGTAAAATTTACTTACAATTCAGACACCAGCTAACAAGCAGCAAATGAACAGTGGGTACAACACCGACACTACCACAAATAATGCGCATCATTACAAGAATACAATCAGGGCTTCCGCCAGAAAATGTTTTTGAGGTAAGGACCAAAATAAGGGGTGTTCATTGATTAAAGCCGCACAATACGCATCCAAACGCTAATTTCTCCAGTACTAGACTAGCAAATGCTTCGTGTCATGCATAATCACACTACCTTATGACAAAATAAACTCTAGTTCCTCCCATTTCACTGCACATTTGCTTAAAACCCACAAGAAAGAGGCGAAATCTGGCAATCTGGCGCCAACGCCGAATTGTTTGCCAAACAATTTAGCCCCGAATCGGTTAGGTGACGTCACATGTTGCTGCTGTACGGTTGCTTGGCAGAGCAACGCGAACGTGTCAACAACATCGGAGAATTTGAACAATATTGCAGGTATTTTCAAATACCTTTTATAAGACAACATGCAGTGAAATGGGAGGAACTAGAGTTTATTTTGTCATAAGGTAGTATGATTATGCATGACACGAAGTATTTGCTAGGATAGTACTGGAGAATTCAGCGTTTGGATGCGCATATTGCGGCTTTAATTGAGAATGAATTTGAAGTCAAATTATACGGATTTATGTTGTGAGCGCTTGGGGAAATCACATTAAACCGTCATCTTAAGTAGATACCAACTAGTGCATTAAACCAGTGACTATCATGTTGTGACTTTCTTGTTGAATTAATGTGAAATTATGCAAATAATTTTGGGTATGGATCCATACCCTAGAAATAGTTTTGGGTATGGAACTTTACCCTTTTATCCTCCTGGTAGAAACCCTGGCAAAATCATAAAGCCAAGCCACGCAGCTAAGCATCCAACACCCTATCACCGGCGCTAAGCGCAGACAACAACGCGGCCACTAACACGACACCCACGCATGCTGCGACAACAACAACGACGACGGTGGCGCCATCTGCTGACCTGCTTGAGCACCTTGTTCACGTCGTCCTTTGAACGCTTCGGATGCAGGTCCTCAGGCGTTTCCACGGCGTCGGAACTGTCCGTCCGGCCGTCCGTCACCGAGCTGTCCGTGCTGCCCCCTGTCCTGTCCCGCCACCCCGCCGCCGCTCCCGCGACCTTTAACCCGTCCACCGGCGCCTCCTGTGACGTGCACGCGATCGTCGGATCATCGTCGAAAAACCGTTGCGTCATCGTGGCGACCGCGGGGTCGTCGTCGTCGCCGCGGTAACGCTGCTGCTCGCGCGAACTCACCCGCGTTGCCGCGTCGACGGCCTCGAATCGCTCCAATGCCTCGTGGATCGCCGTGTGTGCGATCACGCGTGCAAGCTTCCTCTCCTCCGTACCGCTCTCCCTCTCCTCCTCTGCACCTCCCTCTTCTCTACTCTTCTCCGCTGTTGCCCTCTCCCTTGCACCGCTGTCCTTCTCCTCCGCCTCATCCTCCCCTAGACACATCGGATCCTGCCCCGGCTCCTCATCCTCCTCCTCCTCCTCCTCCACCTCCCTCTGCCCCGCAGTGAGCTCCTCTAGTGAGCTCGCCTTCTCCAGCACGCGTCGCAGCACCGACCGCGTCAGTTCCTCGTGTCCCGCCGCCGCGTCCGCCGCTTCCCCATCCGCAAAACTCGACGGCGGCGTGTACGGAAAGTTGCGCGCCTCGGGCTGCAGCAGCAGCGTGTCGTCATCCTGCGACATCGCCTCCTTCTTCGCCGCGATCTTGTTCACCATGTCGCGCGAGTGGAAACTGGGGAGATGCGGCGGCTCCGCAGCCGGGAAGCTGCGCGCGTGCTCGTCCGCGTAACTGTTGCGCGGCGTCGCGCAGCGCGGAGCCTCCAGCGCGTCCGCGTCGTCCGTCTCCGCGCCGACGTCCGTTTCCATGGCGACGGGATGCGGGAGCCCGTCGTCGAGCGCGTTGAAGTTGTGCATGACGTCTTCCTCGTCGGGGAGGCGGAGCGGCGGGTTGTCAATGCGGGTTGCCGGCGGCGACGACGCGACGTAGCCGTCGTCTCGCGAGTCGTCCGCGCCTCGCGGCGTCTCGAGAGAGTCGTCGACAGGCGAGGCGGGGGTCGCTGAGGCGTCTGTGAGGAGGAAGGCGCGGATGCACGGTAGCATCTGCTTGCGGGTCGTGCCCGGCTGGCATTGCTGCAGCAGCGTTGCCGACGGCAACACCTCCGTCTGCCGCCGCGGCAAAGCAGCGCGAGTCACCAAATCACACATCTGCAAATTAGCAGGGTGCAAAATTATCGCGAGTCCGGAGTCAAAAATTATAAAGTCATTATTTATAAATTATACTTTATGAGTTAAGAAATAATTTAATAATTATAATAATAATAAAATTAATAATAATTATAATAATAGTATAATTATTCATAACATCATCATGTATTATCATTTGCATTACTTGATTATTTTTTTACATTCTATATATCTACGGAAACTATTTTTTACATTACGTTAAACACACACACTACTAACCACGACGGATGTCGTACCTGTACGCGATAGCAGTCGTTCTGTGAGAACACGGCAATGGCCTTGAGATCCGGCACCGGTCTGCTATCCATAACAACGATGACATCATAGCTATTCGTGTCACAGAAACGCGCCATGTCCGCCTGCACGGCACTCCTGCTTAAGAACGCCTGCGAGAAACATCATGTGAAAACTACAAATATACACAGTGCAAATCAGTAGTGCATTTCATCAACTTTTAGATGGACATGCCGTCGATTTTGAAGACATTCCATGACCCAAACACGAAAACGCGATTGTTTCTCAGGATTTTCATCGGCTACAGCGTATTTGGGACTATACAAACACCGGAAATTAAACTTAGCATCGTGAAATTCCAGGACTTTTTCCAGGTTTTCTGGGACCCGTCCAGATCACTGGTGCTGCCACCTACCGTCGCTGACATTGGTACAGAACTGACTGCGATGCTCACGCCCTCGTTGGCGGCTGTTTTCAGATCTTTCCTTAGCAGGTCAATGTTCGAGAGGGCTGAAAGAAACACATCGCATCACGAATGTGCAATGGACCACAGCTGAAACTTAGCACGAGCCAAGAATTCTCGTCGAGTTCTCTCTCTCTCTCTCTCTCTCTCTCTCTCTCTCTCTCTCTCTCTCTCTCTCT